TAACATAGAATTGATATTTAAAGATGATGATTTGTTGTTGTCGTTGTTATCGTTATTAATGTTCTCTGATTTATTATGATTACTGGTGATAATCCTTTGACAGCATGTCATGTTGCTCGCGAAGTTGAAATCATTAATCGTGAAGTATTAATTTTGGATCTTCGTAAAGATGAAGCTAGCGATGATGGTAAAATTATATTTTTGGGGTAATAAAAAATGAGTCTATATCCATTCGTATCTAATAAATATTTAATATTATTTTTATCTATTAGATATTATCTGGAAATCTATCGATGAAAAAACCATTATACAAGTTGATCCTTTAAAGGACATTGATCCAACAATACTTCAAAATTATGATATATGTGTGACAGGAGCAGCATTAGCGCAATTTGAAAATAGAAAATCAGTAAAAGACTTACTAGAACACACATGGGTTTATGCAAGGGTTTCACCTGGTCAAAAGGTGTGTGTATAAACAAATATAAATGGTTTCACAGATATAGATGCTCATATATATTTAATAATTTTTACCAACACATATGTTTGCTGTGGAATAATAGGAATTTATATTAACTGGACTTAAACAAGCAGGATATATAACATTGATGTGTGGTGATGGTACAAACGATGTTGGTGCATTGAAACAAGCGCACGTTGGAGTAGCACTTCTTGATGGTAAACCAGAAGATCTTAGAAAAATAGCTGAACATCAACGAATGCAACGATTAAAAGATATGTATGAAAATCAGTTAAAATTCACAGCCAAATTTAATATGCCGCCGCCGCCGCCACCACCAGCAATTGCACATTTATATCCAAACATAACACAACAACTTCAACAAAACACTAATAATAGAAGACCAAATCTACCGCAGGCACAGGTTTTGTGATATATTGTTTAGATTGCATATTTATACATGAGGGTCATTATAAAATCACATTTTTCATTAATTGTATATGTGCACATGAACATTTAGGTTGATAATATTACAGAACAGCTTCTTGATATGGAAGATGAACCGCCTACCATAAAATTGGGGGATGCATCAGTAGCGGCACCATTCACATCTAAACTTTCTAATGTTGTAGCCAGTAAGAATTGAATTTTAAATGCATTCAAATAAAATTTATATTAATTCATCTAATGCTTAATTAATGTATATTTGTAGTTGCAAATATTATTAGACAAGGAAGATGTACATTGGTTGCTACAATTCAAATGTATAAAATTCTGGCATTGAATTGTTTAATAACAGCATATAGTCTTAGTGTTTTATATTTGGAAGGAATTAAATATGGTGATTTGTAAGTAATACAGGGGAGAGATTGTGTGTAAACGTGTATGTGTGTGTGTGTGTGTGTGTGTGTGTGTGTGTGTGTGTGTATACATATATGTAATAGAATGATTACTAATACTTTTAATACTATTATTAATAAATATTTATAGACAAGTAACAATTTCAGGAGTTTTGCTTGCAGTATGTTTCCTTTGTATATCAAAAGCCAAGGTAAATGTTTTATTATTATTTATAAACTAAAAATTTTTATGTTATTATTAATAACAATAGTGTACGGATCTAATTTTTTTTTTAGCCTCTTGAAAATTTATCTAAACAACGACCTCAAACCAATGTATTCAACTTTTATATTATTTTATCAATTCTCGGACAATTCGCTATTCATATAGCCTCTTTAATATACGTTGTTGAGCTGGTATTTCGTTACGAGGAGTAAGTTAGAAATCAATATATCAATGAGTATTTTAGGTTCGAATTAAATGACTTAAAACTAATTAATAAAATAAATTAGACGTGTGGAATTTGATCCAGATCAAGAATCTGATCCAGAAAAAGAATTTGAACCGACATTGCTTAATACAGCAGTATATTTGATATCACTATCAATGCAAGTTTCTACATTTGCTATCAATTATCAGGTAAAATCATCACAGCAAGTTATTATTTATCAGATATTTATACATAATAATATTTAATATATAATATTATTCATTTCTATATTTTATAGGGACATCCTTTTAGAGAAAGTTTACAAGAGAATACAACATTGTATTATGGATTGTGTACAGTTGCTGCCATAGTTGTCTCTTGTGCCACAGAGTTTGTACCTGAAGTTAATAGTATGTTACAACTTGTACCTATGAGTAAAGAGGTAAATTTTTTTTAATTGATTGATAATGTTGACTAAATTATTTATTAATCAAATTATTTATTAAATTCATCAATAGTTTAAAGTTTCTCTCACAACAACTATATTGTTTAATTTTGGATTAGCGTGGCTAGTAGAATACGTTTCCAAGTTTTTATTTGGGAACAATAAACCAAAACCAATCGCACAAAGATAGATTAGACAATAAATTTTTTTTAGAATAAATAAGAACTTTTTTCTTTAAAAAATTTTATTATTCTATATATATATATATTTTACATAATTTTTTTAGATTTTTATTTAATATTGGATAATATATGGAAGGTTATAGAAATTAGAAATTTTGCATAATTTATTTGTGCGACATTCTGATTGTTTTCTATAATCCCAAATACGATTATTAACTTCAGTTTTGACAAACATTTTTATTATTATAATTTTTGTTGAACTTATTATGTATGATGGGTGCACTTTTTCTTTTCCTTAATCAAAAACAACCAATTTTTTTTTACGAATCTTTGAGAAATGTAAAAAAAAGAATTAGGGCTATGTTTTTTTTGGCAATTAACTTTCAGACAAAAAAATGAGAAAATCGAATTTATGAAAAAAACCTTACACAATTGATTGGACCAAGTTATTTTTATTGTTTCAAAAGAAGCAAAGAATTGTCGTTGAAGGTGTACTCTAAAAAGGAATCGAACCTACCTATTAACTAATAATATCAAACGACGGTATTTTGTCTTGAAACCCGACCAGAGTACTCTGTGCAATGATCAACTGATGAGTCATTTTTGTGCATGACTATAGAAGAAACCCTACAACCGTTTATTTTCATATTCAAAGGCCTCACAGATGTAACTTGGTAAGTGAGCTACCCTTTTTTATGGATTACCTCTGTGCGACTGACTGTTTGATACCTGTTTCGGCTTGACAACAAAATACTTGGGGGTGAAATTTCGAGCCTGTAATCAGCCTACCGTCGAAATTCTAGCTGGTGGAGGGTAAAAAAACGATGGATCAGATCTCTTGTAAGTGTCCACGAAAAAGAACTTCTAATATTTGAATTGTCTGGGGCACATACTCGGCTCCCAACTAGACACCCGGAAGGAAACTCGACCAGTGCGTGGTGGGTGTACTTAACAACCTTCTTGAAGAATATTATAGATTGTGTGATTTGTGCTGGCTAAGGAACTCGAGGTATTTGGATTTCAGGCCAAAGGTAAAAATTTACCCTTATGTTGGCGCAGTTTCCATCCGAAGAGTTTGAGGAGATTTCTCAAAAGTACTCTAAAGTTGTACCTAGAGTTAATTAGTCAAATAGTTTTTTTTAAAATATGAAAAAGAATACAAAGACTACGAAATTACATGATCAATTCTCTTTTTAAAAGAACAACGAGTCCCCAGCAAAAAGATCGTAACCAATAGCGATTATTATAATTTCGACAAATCCATGCTCTAGATTTATTAAAAGTCAATAATTCTGACAAAAGAATTGGTAGATACGATAATGATGACAATTGTTTTTATGATGCAATGTGTTGTTTGTTATTTAATTTATTATCATTTAATTTTTATTTTATATATTTAGGTCAAAATTACAATAATATTAGGGATGATCGCGACAGTATCTCTAATAAACTAGATGGTTAATTGCAGAAGTCAAAAAAAATCGCGATGACAACCACAACAATAATAATGATTACCAAGTAACAGAGGACACAAAAGTATAAATATAATCGTTAAATAATGATATTTAATAAAATTTTTTAGATCTCCTTTATGAAATAATTTATTATATCGTTCATGTTGGATTCCTTGCACTTTGATAGCAAAACCCTAATGTTAATAGGGAATATCAAGTTGTAGTAGTCCTTGGGGGCAGCTCAAATATGAGAAGTTCCTTATTGTCTATGTTGACAGCCTTCGGACTCAATCTGTTGTCTTTTGCCTTCCTCTAGCTGAAAGTTTCGTCGGGTAGCTGAAGATGTACTCGAAACTTCACCCGTATAACATTTGTTTTCAAGCCGAAACAAGTATCAAAACAGTCACTACACAAAGGCAATTCGCCAAAAAAGGGTGGCATACCTTTAGTATTGTGAGTATGTGTGATAAATGGGCGCGGAAAATAAAACAGCCCAAACAGCAAAATCTCGATTTTCTGAGTTAATATGCAATTATTCGCAAGGTTTAATTCTAGCCTGGGAACTATACCCATTTTGCTTGGTAAAGTTTTGAGATGATATAAAATGAATGGGCAATAAAAAATGTTACGCTGTAAAAATGTGTGCTCTGGGGATAAATAAAGAATTATCATCACTGTATATATGTATATTGCAATGATGCAAGAAGAATAAATATCATAGGAAGTCTTAATTAAACTGTATTGAAAATAATCATATGAAACTACTTATTAAAAATAAAAAAGCTTCTTTTTTTTTACTATTATTTAATATTTCTTCTTTTATTATTACACTTTGTAAAAATCAAACGCATTCGAATTGTCTTTAGCTCCTGAGTTCAAAGCACACATAGGCAGGTCAATATTGGCATGTAGAGCAACATACATACGAGTTGTGTTAACTTTATATTTTTTTCGAATTTTGACTTTGAAGTCAACCAAATATGCGTAATAATAATATTAATAATATGTTTGAGCTGTATTTAGTGTCTGAGTTTGAAACACACATAGGCTGGTCAATATTGGTACGTAAAACGACTTTTAGGTTTAAGTACAGATGTTTTGTAAGTTTTAATTTTAAAAGTTTTTAAAAGTGATAAAAATAGTAAACAAAGAAAAGGAAGAATGAATCAATCACTAAAGTTTGATGATGAATTTTTGCTGATGTTAAAGTTGTTCTTTAAATAATGCAATTTTTTATCAATCCTATTACTGCGGGGAAATTTTAAAAGGGCACAGGAAAATGTTTGTTATACACGCCATTCTATTCATTAAAACATCAAGTCAAGCTTTAAATTTTAAATTTTTATATAATGTCACATAATAAATTATTATCACCAGAAAGAGTGGGATTTGTATTAAAAATTGATATTGAAATGCACAATAATACAATGGCTAATCCTGATGAAAAAAGTAAAAAAGATTGTTTTTTTTCATTAGTTGAAAAAAACAAGGAGCTTTCTGAAAATGAAAAAGAATTTTGTAAAGAAAAGTTTATTTATGATTTTGAATTAGTAAATGCAAAAGACAAATCAGGCAAACCAAAAAAATGTAACAAATGTAAATTGATAAGATATTCTGATAGATTCTGTGAAGGTTGTACAGTCCCCGGTGAAAAGAATGGCGGACACATTTTTTAAAGGTACGTAAAATTTTCATTATTAATTTAATATTATTTTTTTATTATTTAAAGTATGATACTAACACAACATTTTTTATTATATGATTAATATTTTGTATGGCCTCCTTGTGCATCGATGCATGCTTGAATTCGGTTTGGCATGCTTTCAATGCACCGAAGTAACACATTATTGTCAAGATCGTCCCATTCCTGCTGGATTATGGTAAGAAAAATCTCTTGTGAGATTTTTTTATTTTTTGCCACTAAATTCTTGACCTTTCTCTCTACTTTTCTCTTTAAAATGGCCCATACATTCTCAATAGGATTCAGGTCTGGGCTGTATGAAGGCCAAGAAAGAACCCATCTTGGAAGACGTTCTTCCAAGTCATGCCGAACATCTCGTGAGGTGTGTTTTGGGTCATTGTCTTGCTGAAAGACCCAGTTATGGCCATGTAACATGTTTGCATTGTCGTATAAATGATTGTCAAGAATTCTCTGGTACAAATGACGATCCAAATTTTCTGTGAACAGATGAATTCCGATTTTTCCTTTGACACTAATCGCCGCCCAAACGTGAACTTTGAACGGATGTTTTACCATAGGAGCAACAGGTTGTGCATTATGAGACCATGCATTAATTGTGTTGCTAAACATCTGGAGTGTTGTTTCATCAGAAAAAACAACTTTCCTCCAGTTGTAGTGCCAATGTTCACGTGCCCAAGACAAGCAAACGCCCTTCGCTCTCTGGGTCAAGAGAGGCACTTTTTGTGGAAGAATTGAAACGTAACCGAGATTTTTTAGCTCACAATGAACTGTACATTCATTGACCTCGAGCTCAGGGTTATTTTCTTCCAGTTTAGCCTTAAGTTCGCCTGCCGTCGTGTTTCAAAATTTTTTTAATATGGCGGTGTTTCTTGGGGGACAACTTTCTTGGGTGACCAGGTGAGTGATTTATAGAGTTATTGCCAGTTTTACATAATTTACTGACATATCATTCACAGGAGCGTAAAGGGATATTCAATCGTTCGGAAATTTCTTTTGCATTACGCACGTTTTGTTGCCAAAGTGACTTAACAGCATTTCGCTGGATTTCAAGTGGACTTGGCATTTTTTAGTGGGCAAAAACGAAATGTAAACAATAACAAACCCAATTGTTTACAACTTACTTATTAAATAAACAATCCATTGTCCAATTTGGTAATATAAACAATGGCCTGATTTGGAAAAATGGTGACGTTGCGGCCAAAAATAGATGTGGTATCTCCACCGCCATTCTTTTTGCCGGGGACTGTAACTATTACTATCATTATTATACTATCAATCAATATATCATGAGTAGTGTATTATTTCTATCAAAACATACCAATGATCTTCCTAGCAGAAATTATAACTTAACGATAGTGTATCAGAAGCATTTTTAGGAATATTTTGCACAAACATTTACCACATCTCAGTTTGTTATTGAGGAAAAAATCATGGAAACATATCAGATCAAACCATTGAAAGCTGTAGGCTACAAGGGAATTTTTGATTTGGGACTGTGCTTTTTGGAAATATCATATGGGGACTTTTCAATAGAAACAGACCATGTTGTGAAAAAAGCAATTTTGAGTTAATACCATTGTTATATGTAACTCCTCATGTAGAACGTTTTTGGCTTAGAAACTATACTCACTTTGCATAGTAAAATATCAAGATACTTTTCTTTAAAGTTTCAAAAACAATAGTAAACCCCTTAAAATGCAGATCTTTTTTTTGATCTCCTCAAAACATCATTTTCACAACATGGTCCATTTCTATTGAAAAGCCCCCATATTACACTTTACTATTGGCATTCATCAACCAGATGGTTATTTCGATATGCCAGCTAGATTGTTTTATCATAATAACAGTAATA